TAACGTTTCTGCCATTGTACGTTCCGGCCTTCTTCAGATAATTGGAATTTCGAACTGAACCCTTTATTTCGTCCACCATAGTAGATTGTTCTAGTTCCACGTGCCGTCTCTCTTCACTATCAGTTATCTCCCTATAACTTTACTCTTAAGTTTTTGTTCAGTTCAGCTGTAGCCAGGTATTGAACTCACAACTCTTTGATTCAATCAACGCTTTTATCCACTGGGCCATGTGCCCTTGAGGATTCAGTTCGAAATTTCAATCACCTGAAGAAGGGCTGAGCGACGGCTGCAACATCGTGAATATGGCAACAAAGATAATGACCACGGTCCGAACAATGTAAATAGTGTAAATAATTACAATACCTAATTACAGTACATCATTTACATTATTCGGACTATTGTATTCATCATTGTCGCCATATTTATCACAACGTTTCGGCCGTGGTACGCTCCGGCCTTCTTCAGGTGGTTGGAATTTCGAACCAAGACTGATAAAGGCGTTGGTTAGATCCAGTGACAGGACCCAAAGAATGTGAGTTCAATACCCGGTTAAGGCAGTAGAGAACTTTCAGAGGGAAATTAGCAGGAAATAACTGATAACTGACATCCATCAAACATGGCACGTGGAACTAGAACAATCTACCCCAGTGAGCGAAATAAAGGGTTCAGTTCGACATTCCAACCACCTGAAGAAGGCCGGAGCGTACAACGGCCGAAACGTTGTGATAAATATGGCGACAATGATGAGGGCAATAGTCCGAATAATGTAAATAATGTACATAATACCTCATCTCAGAAATATAGACAGAACCTAATTACAGATAATAATCGTTTGGTGGAAGGACAATGAATACGGCTAGTCGGGTAGAACAGATCAACCGACTTCCAGTATTTTTCCTATGTTATTCTGGCTGTATTCGCCCTTGCTTTAGTATTGAGAAATACAAAGAAAGAAAGAAAGAAAGAAAGAAAGAAAGAAAGAAAGAAAGAAAGAAACTATCTTTAGAGGCCTTGATTTGACCAAACTAAAATAAATGGTACATAGATCTGAACGGCATAGGATAGAACAAGTCTGGGACGTAAACAAGATTAACAAGAGATACATTACCAATTTAGTTATTAGTTTCTTCACGGTGGTTTTGGGAAAATTGTTTGTGTCAAACACCGCGTCAAGATTGAGTGATTCATTTGTTTTTTACGGATTGTCAACTCTTTGGGAGTTATTTAAAGCCGAAACATGTTTATTGCATAAATCATTTTTGGAGATAACAATGCATTTTCAAGAAACAAATACTATTATTTAACCCATCGCTGAGAGAGAAGAGATGGATGCATACCCTTTTCGCGGGTATTTGAACGTGAATATAATGAAATCGATTCGACTGTGACAATAACTTTTATGTTAAGATATTCGAAAATGGGATGTGAACACAAATAGCTTCAGACGGAATTCGAACACGGTTCTCCGATTCCGTTTGCGGCCTATTAACCGTCACGCTACCTTGTCAGTAAAATAAAATGTTATATATACAGAATAACATATATATAAATATATATATATACATATATATATATATATATATATATATATATATATATATATATATATATATATATATATATATATATATATATATATATATATATATATATATATATATATATATATATATATATATATATATATATATATATATATATATATATATATATATATATATATATATATATTTATTACTGAAGTGTGTGTCCTTTTTATCAGACAATTCTTCACGTAGCAAAAGAATCAGAGTCTATTTTATTGCGATGAGTACAGACCCTAATGACTGGTCGCACTTGCGATTTTGGTCTTGTTTAACCAGTTTAGTTTGTCACCATTCAAGAAATTGTGGTTTGGATAGTATAGTCCTAGGCAGTCGATCTCAGATCACGACACATTTGGAAAGCACCTGGACAGAATGCCACAGGTTGATCCAAGCCTTGTGAATGGCATTGGGTAGGGAAAAGCTGTTTTAAAGTTACCGTTATTTGGACTGCTAGACAGATAGAAGCTCTTCAGTTCTTGTTGACAGTCTATCTAGAGATTGTGACTCAATAAAAAAAACAAAAAAACAAAAAAAAAAACAATCATCCCCCACCAGTCTGAGTCATTGGTAGAGATGTGCGCGACCTTAAAATCGCTCAATGTCCGATAGTCACGTGAGTTGCACAATCTGCCGCAGGTGGAGATGGAGCTTACATTTAAAGTCTGTTTAAAACACACACACACACACACACACACACACACACACACACACACACACACACACACACACACACACACACACACACACACACACTTTAGGTCTCCCCTTGTAGTGCGATGGTTACCAAACTACGTAACGTTCTTTTGTGCAAGGGAGTTTTGAAGAAACTTTCCCCGAAAAATCCTATTTGACCGTTTGTTCAGAATTTATGAAGTGGGTTGGCCAATGAAATTTTCAGCTTTCACTCGAATGTTGACTTTGAATGTGTAGGGTACACAAAATTGACAAAATGATAATTGTAGTGAATGTTTTAGACTCTGTTGGGCTGAATGTTCTTGACTCTACTTTTGTTATTGGCTCTACTTTTGGTCTGAAACGAAACAAACTGAATCGGGGTGGTATAAAACCCATCGGTAGGAAATATTTCCAGGGATGGATTGCCTTTTATGTTTCGATATAAGACCGAGAATCGCGGCAATATATTTGTGTCAGTAGAGAAAACAAGAGCTCTGATACTCATTCCAGACTTTCTCCGCCAGATTCCTTTGCATACACGTACGTTCGACAGAGATAGGTTGTAGTCAGATGATACCTGGTAGAACTGTTGATATTTGCTCTCTCTCTCTCTCTCTCTCTTTATTTCTGTTTCTCTATTTCGCCCGCTCGTCTGGGTTTCCCCCACAAAAACTGTACCTACTACATACCATCCCCCACCCCGAAAAAGACGTGAGAAAAACGAAACGTTAGGGAAAAATAGCCATTGTTGATGCAGCATTGGGGTATCTACTGAGGAATTGCCGATAGGCCACTAGAACGCAACGCAACTCAATTTGAATTCCAGTTTAGTTGCAGCGTTGGGGTATCTACTGAGGAATTGCCGATAGGCCACTAGACGATACGCAACTCAATTTGAATTATGCTTGGTTAATATCTTAGTCTCGGGGGAGTAAAGGATTAAAACTCGCATTGAGGAATCGGAGAGCCGAGTTCGAATTCCAGTCTTGTTCATTACATTCACTTACATGAAAGGTATGAATCCATCCCACCCAGATATGGGTAAATAGCAGGACAGACTGGGTTCTATAGCCCTGGGTGGTAATCGGTCTAGCAGAAGGAAAACACTGAATTCAAACCAGCCTGGAGAGGATTGGGCTCCGTCGGGCTATCATCCTCAAGGCACACGGCTTCTACTCCGGGTGTCGTATATTTGGTGCTTCTACGACTCGACTGACTTACGGGACTCGTGATTGTGATCGTGAATATCTTAAGGCGCTTCGCAGTGAAGAAATGGTTAATATTGAAGACAAAAATTACTGTGTTTAAGTACCTTCCTTCCCAGTAGGGCCTTGTGACGAACTCATCAATATCGTCGCAGAAAACAGAATCAGTAATCCAGCCGAAGCAATTAGATTTAACTTCGCAGCATTGCCCTTAGAAAAAGATATGAATCAATTTTTCTTCCTCCATGGAAGACTACGCGACTATTTCAGTCGAATGGTAGTCCCAGAAGTAACATGACAATAAGGATTAAGATTTAACGAACATAGAAAGTACACGTAACACATAAAGAATGCTTTAGGATTTTACACTCACAATACATACTGAAAACAAGAGATATAGGCGATTAACCGGTTTAATGAGTTTGATATTTTATCAAACAAAAATTATACATAGTTAGAAATAATAAATTAAAACTAAATTTGCACAATTATTAGAAGAAATATCTCTAACTACACACCAATGTTCATCTAGCTAAGTTACAGACACGCAACACTCTACTTAAAACAAATTTTAAAAGAAACACAAATATATCAAACTGCTAGCCATAATTAAGGCGAATCTCGTTTGCAAAAGATGCTTCCAACTACGTCCGCGCGTTTCCTTTAAGTCTATAAGAACCCGTCAGTAGACACAAGCGGAGAGACGTCGAGATACATTCTCTGACTGTTTGCGACGTCTGTCAAACTCTCTGCAGAGAGGAACCCGGACGAAGCTTTGCGAAAAGCAAAGTTTCGTCCGGGGAGGTAGACAGGCCCTGAACCCGTCAAAGGGGATATTTTTTGGCTGAGCCTACGAGCTCGGAGAAACTTTAAACTCGGCCTTGTGCCACATATATTCCTCGTGGGTGGACTGTTAAATACTGAGAAACTTCATGAACGCAGGGCTGACTGTCCGTCCGACCATTAGGCTTTGTAAACAACTCCTGTAAACACAATAAATGAACGCACCCTATCAACGTGGCAAGCACAAAGCGATAATTACCAAGCAGTCAGCCGGGGTTAAGCATACCCGTTTTTCACGTTTTCACTTCAAACCTAGTACACCGCACATTCAAACCTCTACAGTATACCACTTATCAAAGACATTTTTATAACTTGTATATAAAAATAAATCTTTGGTCATTTATCTAAACAAACGTCCAAGTTTGTATCTTCTACTCCAACCTCGAGATCAACAATATAACGACAAAGAAGGGCGTTAAAGAGATAAAAGCTGCTGATAACAAAAAGAAGTTGTGGGAAACTATGATCACCCGCGTCCTGATAGGATACAGAATATAAAATAAAAAGGCAACAAATCCATGACATCAACAACTCTCAATTTAAAACTGTGGGAAAATAAAACAGCAGAAAGCCACTCCGTTAACTTTACCGACAATCATAACAATTTACATTTTACTGATATTAAGAAATGGAAAGTTGTGCTGAAACTTGATTGCCCACGTTGATGCTCGTTGATCTTTATATAAGCGTCATGTTTTATTTCGACCCCCACTGTATATTCCAAAATTGTGATCTTGTCGCTATTAAACTAGTATCTATCTATCTATCTATCTATCTATCTATCTATCTATCTATATCAGTCTGTTCATCTATCTATCTATCTATCTATCTATCTATGTCATCTATCAGTTATCTATCTATCTATCTATCTATTATCATTATCTATATCATCTATTATCATCTATCTATTATATCAGTCTGTTCATCTATCTATCTATCTATCTATCTATCTATCTATCTATCTATCTATCTATCTGTTGTCATTTCATATCAGTTATCAGTCCCATTCTCTTCGTATCTATCTATCTATCTATCTATCTATCTATCTATCTATCTGTTGTCATTTCATATCAGTTATCAGTCCCATTCTCTTCGTATCTATCTATCTATCTATCTATCTATCTATCTATCTATCTATCTATCTATCTGTTGTCATTTCATATCAGTTATCAGTCCCATTCTCTTCGTATCTATCTATCTATCTATCTATCTATCTATCTATCTATCTATCTGTTGTCATTTCATATCATTTATCAGTCCCATTCGTATCTATCTTCGTATCTATCTATCTATCTATCTATCTATCTATCTATCTATCTATCTATCTGTTGTCATTTCATATCATTTATCAGTCCCATTCTCTCGTATCTATCTATCTATCTATCTATCTATCTATCTGTTGTCATTTCTATCATTTATCTATTCTATATCTATCTATCTATCTATCTATCTATTTATCTATCTATCTATCACGGATTAAAAATAATTGATCACCAATATGCTAATTTAATTGTAGACATCTTAGAAATTACCTGAATATATATACTATGACCCATATAGATTTTGTTTGCCATTGATTTTATTATAGTCTGGTTCTGGATTCATGCAAGCAGTCATTTATCACTCGTGAACTCTGTTATCCTCTGTCTCTCTCTGTGTCTCTCTTTGTCTCTGTCATTCTGTCTGTCTGTCTATTTATATATATATATATATATATATATATATATATATATATATATATATATATGTATATTGTTCTCTTTTTCTCAATGTAAAATTGTTATCTGTCTCTATATATTTTCTTATTCTATTTACTATTTCTTTGTTGTTATTTAATCACTTCATCCATTGGTCCAACTTGTTCCCGCCTTTTCTTTTCTTTTTTTGTTCTTTCTTCTGCCATCTTACTTTTTAGTATTTCCATTTTGTTTTTTTTCTATCAAACCTAAAATTACTTTGCCGAATCTCCACACAGTCATTCGTTTTACGTATGTCCATCACGCTGTCTAGTTACCATTATCGTTTTTTGTTTGCTTTACATCCTTCTTACTTTTGACTTTTTCCAAATCTGTCTTTTCCTATTTTTTATGTTTTCTATTTCATTTCATTCTTTGTTCCAATCCGTATCCATTTTTTACTGTTGGCATCGTCTCTTGGATTTTTCAAGCATTTGCGAGAACTGTTTTCTTATCTATCTATCTATCTATCTATCTATCTATCTATCTATCTATCTATCTATCTTGTTCCGCATTTCATTAAAACTCTCTCTCTCTTCTTCTTCTTTCCCTTTATCTTTCTTCCCCCGCTCTCTCTTTCTCAGTTTCTCTCTCACTTGATCTGCATTTCGTTAAATCTATCTCTCTTTCTTTCCCTCTCACTCCTTCTTTCCCTCTCTCTCCTTCTTTCCCTCTCTCTCCTTCTTCCTCTCTCTCTCCTTCTTTCACTCTCTCCTTCTTTCTCTCTCTATCTTTCGTGTTCTACATTTCGTTATAGTTTTCTCTCTTATCTTTCTTCCCTCTCTCTTGTTCTATATTTCGTTCTTTTTCTCTTTCCTTCTCGTTCGTTTCTTTTTTTTCTGTTTTCCCTCTGCGTTAGATAAATTTAATAACATGCACAAACAAACAAAAAAATGAAGCTAATTTTACAATCATCTTATAAGTGAAAATATCTTACTTAGAAATCAACATTCCGGGGTCTGGCTGTAAATATAAAATAAAGATAAAACTGGCCATCGCCCTTCACGTTTCTCATTTACCCCTGTGTTAACAATAAGATTTCATGAGTGTTTCTTTTTCTCTCTACTTTTTCTTGATAAAGGAATATTTAATAATATATATATATATATATATATATATATATATATATATATATAATATTTAATATGTCGTAAGGCTACAGGGATATGTTTAGGTCAAGCCAATCCTACTAAGACCAAGTTACCTTGAAATACAGTATGCCAAACCTGGCTTTAAGCAGACCTTGAATACCGGCAACTAAATCACAACTGTTTCAACTACTAAGCAGGTCATATTTTAAGTAATACGTTTTGTTTCTGTCTATTTCTCTTTCTTATATCTGAATAGCTTTTCCTTTCGTTTTATATATATATATATATATATATATATATATATATATATATATATATATATAGTCTTAAGGTGTGCTATATTTATGGGATTTCAATATCTGAACTCTTAAAAAAATTAAAACTCAATATAACTTGACCCAAATAAATGAACAAAGCGACTTCCGGTAAAATAACCGCCATAATAGAATACCCACAATCGTATATATATAAATCTTGACGATTGCATTTGAAACAGACTTTCTAAGTGTTACTTCTATGTTCACTTTTATATATATATATATATATATATATATATATATATATATATATTCATTTTTCCTCTCTTTCTCATTCTGATCTTTTCTTCGTTTGTTTCGTTACTCTCTTTGTATTTCTTGCTTTCTCTCTGTTTTTCTTGCTCTTATTCACTTTCTCCTTTTTATTTTCCTTTTCTTTTCGTGACGAGTTTATCTCTCTCTCTTCCTTCCAACCCCTCACTCTTATGTTCTGGTTTTTATAAATACACCCTCTTTGTAGATCTTTCATATCTCTTCTCTTTCTCTCTTTGTCGTTATTCTCATCTTCTTTTTCGTTCTTTTTTTATCACCCCTCTTTCAAGATCTTATTTTCTCTCACTCTCACTTTTTCTCTCTCTCTCTCTCTTTCTATCTGGTTATTATTTATTTTCTCGCTTAATTTCCCTCTTTTCTAAAACTAGCCTCTCTCTCTCACCCCCCCTCTCTCTCTTTCTCTCTCTGTATATCTATTTATATCTTCCTTCTCGTTCTTTTATACACATTCTTTTATATCTGGTCTCAGTCTTCTATATTACAATCTGTCTCTCTCTCTCTCTCTCTCTCTCTCTCTCTCATTGCACTCATCTTACTTTTCGTTCTTTTTATCCACCTTTTCTCTTTCTTTCTTTCTTTCTTTTTTTCTTTCTTTCAATTCTCTTATTCTTATGTACCTCCTCATTCTCTTTTATATACTCTCTTCTGTTTCTTCTCTCACATTTGCTTTAATTCACTCCCATTGTATATTTAGTTACATTTTTTACTTACTTTGTGAATATCCTTAAACGCCTTTTGCTTACTCTCTTTCCATGTCTCACACATTCGCTTTCGCTTTCATCCTTTCACTCTCCATTTCCTTTATATTAAATATGTTCTCGGCTTTATTTTGCCAAATTCCTGAGGTTTATGCTTTCAAACTTGACTTACTGGCCATTCTCAACCCACCTTGGTGAAGCACACACTCACACACACACACACCTGTTCATGCCTGGTTACTGACTGCCAAGTGACTAATAAATTCTATAAATCGTTTCCGTATATTTATGCTTTCTTTTTCACTTTTCTCCGTTAGTTTCTTCCCCTCTTTTCTGTTTCTATCTATCTATCTATCTATCTATCTATCTATCTATCTATCTATCTATCTATCTATCTATCTATATCTCTCTCTCTCTCTCTATATATATATATATATGAATTACGATATTTATCTATTCAGCTATCTAGCTGTCTGACCTCTTTCAATTAATCTTCATTTTCTCTCATATTCTTCTTCATTTTATTTCGTTTTGTGCAGTTTTTTTCATTCATTTTCTCCTTCTTTCGCATTATTATCTTTTAAAATTTTCGCGTTATATTTTTCAGTCGCCTGTATCGTCTGCGCCCTTCATTCATTAATTTTTACTTCATTTTCATTCACATTTTCGATTCTATTCTGAACCCATTTTTTTTATTTGCTTTTCAATACACATTATTTCTCTTTTTCTGTCCTTTATCACTTTCTTTTCCATGTTCTCCCTCCCCTTTTCTTTTTACCTCTCTAAACACTCTTTCTTTACCCTTATTCTTCATTTACTTTCTCTATTTTTCTTCATATCTCAATTATTCGGTATTTTCTTTTCTTTTTTCTTTTCTATTTCATCTTTCTTCATTTTCTTGCCTCGTCCAATATTCTTTTGAGTCTTCAGATTTTTATCCCCTACTCCATTTCCCCCGGCCTCCACGTACGCCCTGCCAATCTTCCTCCATATTGCTTCAGTTCCTCCAGTCCACCCAACACCATACTTCTCCAGTTCCCCACATCAAACCTTTTACTTACCAATCCTCCTTTGCGAAAAGCACCAATCAGAACCTAATGCAATTTCTAAATTTCCCTTAGTCTAATTCACCTTTTTATCTATAGCCACTCTTTCCCGCCTTTTTTCCTCTTTTCACGATCTTCTTCGTTGTCATCTTTTTCTCTCTTCTGGTTAGTACGACTAGCCAACCGTTTCTTGAGTTAGCATTATTATCAAACTATGCTGCCATTTTAGCATACCGCCATTTTATGTTCTCGTTCTGCTTTTTCTCTCTCTTTATCTTCATTTCTTTCTCTCTCATTATTTCATTTTCTTACACTTTTTTTTCCCTCTTATATCGTCCCCAAGAGTCTGTATCAATGTCGACGCGTTTTTTTTCTTTCACAATTTCGCCTGAGAGACTTTTTATTTCATTTCACACAATAGCATATTTCTCTTTCGTTTTTTTTTTTTTCATTATTATTTATATTTCTACTATTTTTTTGTTAGTTCTACAATCATTCACTTACATACTTTGTTCAGTTATTACCTTTTT